AAGGTCATTCATTTTCCTATATCACATTCTGTGCTGAGATTATCGGTGAAGCGAAGTTATATTTGCTATAGAAATCGACCACGTTACTTATTTTTCGTTTATAAGTAGATTTTATATATTAATCGTAAATTATGTATATGAGATGTGCTCACTCTATTTCGTTTAAGGTGATGAATGACAGGGCTTTAAAAGAAATAGGGTGAGCACATCTCATAAATCTGATCAACTGATAGTCTTAAAAATCCACTTTACACTTAAAATAAGTAATTTATTCATTTGCTCCGCTAAGATTAAGAGTCAACAACAAGGATGGAGCAATACAGAATATAATATAACTTTGTTATTCAACAATCTTAGCACAGAATGCGATATGGAAAAATGTTGGGCCGTCCTTAAAATTCACATCTGACCTGTGACCCAAGGGACTGCGTCAACCTGAACCCTCGTATTAAAGCCAATCGGCTGCAGTACAACGGGATTCAGCCGTCGTCTTCTGGTGAGATCAATCTACGAATATCTTCTTTATGTGATTTTATACGAGATAAAGGTCTCCTCGACAATGTTATCTCAGGAGACTAATCGAAACCTAGTTACTCTTTCTATTTATTGTAGCCAAATATATCTCTAAGTTGCAATCGTTGTAATGATATTTTGAACGCTAGTGAAACTGCTTTATATTAATATAGATAGTCCAATAGAAAATGACAATGCAGTATATTTACTAATCCCCATTGCAATTCTGAACTGAGGAAATCTTTGTCATCATTCAACTCTCATCTGCCATTATACACTCATTGACAGTCAAATGACTTGCACACCTGATAACGTGTTACTGCTTAAGGTGCATCACTTTTGTTTTGGGGGATGTGTAGACCCCCGCAGTCCAGTTTGGAGGAGAGGATGTATGAATATACCGGCAATATTAAGCCTTCCCACATAATAGAAGTTGTCTGACCTTGTTTTCGCAATTTGGTCATGTTTGTAGGAAGACTTAGAGGAACGCAGCTAGTCCGGGGTCCATTGTATGCATAATCATTTCCAGAGTAGGACCGTGAACATGGTACATTCCTAGACTTTTCGCCGGCATCGTCATTGAGTCTTGCCATTCTTAGCACCATAAAACAACTCGTCAGAGACAAGTGAAGCTGATCCTTTGACCAAATGTGTGCTAAACAGTTGCGGTATTTCTTCTTCTGTCCTGGGCTATTCAGATTTCCTATATCCTCGTATCACACCTTCATTCTTACAATTTTTTCCTTGCTTATTTAAATCTAGTGTGGTGTGCCCTTTTGAGCGGCTTTCATGAATACCCTCCACACTCCACGTTGGCGTTCTCACCCCCCTTCACCTATGTGCTGGGAATGTGGATCAGAGTCTGCCATATTTTTACGTATTTCTCCTTTTCTAGGTCTTATCACAGTCTCCCTCTTGCCCCGTATGATTCGTCTGCTATCTCTAGTCTACACCGCATCAATCCTGTTTCTATCCCTGATTCAAAGTGTATGAGTTGCTATGCCCTAGTATCTTGTGTGCCACCCACACATGTCGTGGCGCTGCTTGCTTTGATTATCTTCACTGTTGAACCACAACGTTTGCTGGTTGGCACACAAGAGACTAGGGCATGGGAAGTCATAGACGCGTGTGAAATACGTGAACTAGAGAGAGAGAGAGAGCAGACGGGTCTTACGGGGCAAGAGGTAGACTGTGATAAGACCTAGAGAAGGAGAAATACGTAAAAATATGGCAGACTGATCCACATTCCCAGCACAAGTGTGGAGGGGGGTGTAGGGTGGAGTATGTAGGGTATTAATGAAAGCCGCTCAAAAGGACACACCACACTACATTTAAATAAGCAAGGAAAAAGTTGTAAGAATGAAGGTGTGATACGAGGATATAGCAAATGTGAATAGCCCAGGACAGAAGAAATACCGCAGCTATTTAGCACACATTTGGTCAAAGCATCGGCTTCACTTGTCTCTTTGACGAGTTGTTGTGTGGTGCCAAGAATGGCGAGACTCACTGACGATGCCGATTACTATGCCGGCGAAACCTCTTGAAATGTACCACATCCACGGTCCGACTTTGGAAACGATGATGCATACTGACTGTGTGCGTTCCTCTAAGTCTTCCTACCAATATGACCAAGTTGCGAAAACAAGGTCAAACAGCTTCCGTACAACGAAATGAGACTGCGATCACACAAAAGGCCACACCATCTTGATCTTCATATCTTCTCACTTTATGTTGGGCCGCCCATATATGAGGATGTTCAGCACCAAAATGGCATCTCGGTTATAGTCAGTATTGACAGGTCGTATGTTAGTGTGCTCGACGGTCTCGCGGAAAACCGAAAGAGGATTGTAGAAAAACTGGGTTTGAAGAATCCCTGAATAGATTCATGTTGGAGTTCCTTTAATTTTGTTTGAAGATGCGAATGGAAGGGAATTATCATTAAGCATAATGTTCTGCTCCGACGATATCCATCACATGACGGATGAAAGCTCAGCAAGGATTCATCTATGTCGTAGGGCGGTGCATCAAGAACCTATTCGTGCAAATCTACCATCCCAGCTCAAAGGCAATCCCACTACAACCAACTTACTGATCTCTTTCACTCACCTTTTCAAACAAAATGAAAGGTATTCCAGCCTCGAAGGAGCATTGTCTGCTGTGGAGTGAAGCTTACTGAATTATGTGAGGTACTTGAGTGCGATATTTCGTAAAGTGTGAATTTTTGCTCTGACGATTTCTGTCATGTCGGAACAGACGAAAGCATAGCCAAGTTTTATTTGGGTGTCGCAGGAAGGTTCGCTGAGGACTTCTTCGTACAATACAGAAGTCCTCATTCCATGGCAATGCTCCTTCGGTTTATGGTAGGACCAATCCACAACTTCCTTTCACACCAATACTTTGTTTAAATTGAAATTTGAGTCATCCTAACTCCCCAAGGGATTCTACAAAATCCAGTTTGTCTTGGTATCCTCGAATTCCTCTGTTCCCCGATCATATTGGATTCTCTTTTTGTGAATGGGGATCAAAAACACTGGAGGCCTTGATTACGGTTCCTGATTCCAATGTGTCTGTCTGAAAAGTGAGACGAGTCCAGTCAGTAAGGAGTGAAAGAAACACGCCTGAATAACAGTGGGATTAGCTTTCGCATGAATCCTGAGTCGGCTTGCCCTCTTTTTGCTTAATCACTGCCTCTTCACCTCGGACAGATCTCGCTCATCCAAGCTCTTCTACTTTTCCTCTTCATCACACCTCCCTTCCCCACCTTCGGCCGCCAGTTGGCCGAGTTGCTCGACATCAACCGACTCGAGCGCTGTGATACTCCGACCTTGGCCGATTGTATTGAGCACTCGAATCAGATGACGTGCTGGGCGAAGAGTCTTATCGTCACTTGGGTCGAATTCCAGAATATACACGCATTGTGGCTGTCCCGGACGAAGGGTACGCTCAAATAAACATCTAAAAATACTTTTCAGATGGCCCCTTCACATCTCATGAGGTTATAGTCATTTTTCATTACTCAAAACTTACGGAAAAGCCGCTTTTCAAGAATATCATGACAAGTGGTTTTGTGGAAATGTGTTTTGACTTATAAATTCCATAAAGTTTAGAATTGAGATTCGTCTTTTATTCAGAGAGTCTATATCTGCACCGGCAACACTCGCGCTCGGAGAGCGTTGAAGCTCACTGTTCGAAGTTGTGGTGTGAAAAAAGATCACTTTAATATCCTCTCCTTTCTTGCTCCTCACTAAAAGTTGTCTAAACAATGTTGCATAAAGTGCGTTTAGCGATAACTGTGGTGTTCAGGCTTCCCTTAGAGTTGGGTGTATGCGGAATAGTTTAACTTCAGTCAAGCTCCGTGCAGACCAGCAAGGGACTACGGCATAAGGCGATTTGATGAATAAGTTTATATATTCAGTGGACCTCGAATAAAAACTGTAGTCGGCCTAAGTCACTTAAGCTGTTGAAGGATAGACAATAAATTTCTCCACAATGCAACTGAATTTCCCCTATCCTCGTTTCCTAAAAGGTATTCCCACTCCTAATTGACTGAACTGGTGTTTCGAGCCCATCAGGGTTTCATGAACACCCCAAGCAGGCATCGAACCTGATTTCTGATAATGCAGCATGTAGTCTCGACACGTTAACCACTACGGCCTTGAGTCACGGCGTAAGTGAATTTTAAAGAAGCCTAGGCCTTTCCCATATAACATCTCTGTGGTGGGATTGCCGACGGAGTAAAGTTTCATAAGTTTTATAGACTGCCAGTTGACCTTATATAGGAGCTGTATTCACCCTTTTTCCTTTTTGGTAATCAAAGACAGGTAGTTGAATTTTCCCATAACTATATGATTAGGACTCATGTATTTGTCATTGCAAGCAACGAAATTACAGTGATAAGTTTAGAAGTCACCAGCAATTCTTTAATTAAAACTTTAAAATTAACTTAGTCACTTCCTAGGTCGCATAAAGTGACCTTTAAGCTGATAGGTGAGCTTTTTATTACTTTTTTCGTCATTAAATTTCACCTCCTAAAGGCTATTTTCTGTGATGTCATAAAGTCTATTTATATCCGTGTATAAAAGTAAAAATATTAGTCTTTACCTCATTTTAAGCGACCTAGGATGACTCAGCTCTCGGCCAAGTTTTTATTCAAGAATTGCTAATTTTTTCAAAATTCTATTCTATTCTATTCTATTCTATTCTATTCTATTCTATTCTATTCTATTCTATTCTATTCTATT